TGGACGCAGCACTGTACCCTGGCCGTGGGGTTGTAGCAGGATCCACGACGGCCACCTATGAGGCAAAGGTCTTCCTCAAGCCAGGTGTGGACCGATTCACCACAAATATGTCTGATAGTGCATCCCTCTCCCTCCACGTTGACGACCTCACTCTCCAACAGTGGGGAGATTGCATGGGGCGGGTGGTGGGGGCACTCAAAGAGTTGGCTGAATCGGTCCGTTCATATTTAGTAAATGATCTGCAGCTCCCGCTCGCCTACCACAAGTTTGGCATCGCTGCGTCGTCGGGGCCACTACTCAGGCTGGGTCGCGTGGCTCTTGGGGACCTCGCTGGAGCTCCTGATGACGGGGACGTTACGAACTTAGGCGTGGACTTCTCGGGAGGCCAACATAGACTCAGGAGGGGCACCAGAAGGACTCGAACCAAGAGGTGGATCAAATACGGGGCTCGAAGGTGTAGGATGACCAGGCTCAAGATCAAGTCAGGGCACAGGAACAGGTTGTTCCAGACCAACTTGAAAGCCACACTAACGTACGGGGCTGAAGTCCATGCGTTTAGCCCACACCAGATCAAGGAGATCAGGGCCTCTGCTGGAAAAGACGCTGGGGTACTCTTCAAGGGGGCACAAGTGGACCTCGGTTGGGCTCTATCGACATATCTGGACCCGATAGACATAGCGAGCAGGAGCATAACCAGGATCGCAGCAGAATGGTGGATGACTACGGCCTTCCACAAGCACGAGCACGCCCACAAGGATGTGCTGAAGCCCGCCCTGCTCAGCAAAGCCTTGAACTCAGCCGCCCGCCACATTGAGGAGACAAAAGGGAAAAATTGGTTCTTCCGCTCCAGAGGACCAATAACCGATGCCTTACTCTGGTGCGAGGAGGCTGGATGGAAGATGGTTAGCCCAGGGATATTCCAGGACTCCATTGGGGACACCCTCAATCTCACAGAGGTCAGCCCTGCCCTGGTATCCAGAAGATTTGCCACCCAGCTGAAAGATACGTACATCCAGAAATACGTTCGGGGAGTTTGTGAGAAGAACAATTGTGACACACAGGACCTTGAGACCCGAGGACTGTGGTGGGAGCTCATCAAGCAGAGGATGAACTCCACCAAGCTCGGGCTCACGCTTGTAGAAAAGCTCAGAGTGAAGCAGTTGTTTTGTGGAACCCTCCCGACGGGCGAGGCCCTCGCGAGGTGGGGTTTCAAATTTAACTCAGCGTGCAGTAGATGTGGCAATCTCGACACTGCGTGGCACCGCGTTTGGTCCTGCCCGTGCCCGCGTGCGTCTGCTGTCCGAAGTGAGGTTTTCCCTGAGGCTCTTATTCAACAAGCCCTGGAAGCTGGCCCAGGATCTCTTCTGTTCAGCCGTGCCTGGGTCGCCAGACCTGACCTGTCCGCGGAGCCCCCTGCCCAGGACTGGGTGCAAGATATAAAATTTTTTGGTCCTGGGGGTGTGGAGACGGCGCCGTTCGATTTCCCACCTGGGGCTACATTATTTACTGATGGCTCGTGCTTGTTTCCCCAGCTCAAACCCTGTTCCAGAGCTGGATGTGCAGTCATTCAAGTGAACGAAGATGGCGAGCTGGTCAGAGGCATAAGGTCCCCTGTACCAGGCGCGATGGAGCAGACTAGTGGGTCTGCGGAACATTGTGCCATCATGCTCGCCACCACGTACTCTGCAGATCAGTGCCAGTCAGGCGAGATTTTTGTTGACTACGCAACCCTCCTCAAAGCCACGAGGGCCCACCACTGGGCCCTGTCTGGGGCCAACCCGATGGCCCATGTTTGGCGGGAAGTGGCTCGGTGGTGCCCTGGGGACCCTCCCCGCCTCACCAAGGTCAAGGCCCATAGGTCCGAGGAGGAAGTTGCCAGCGACCAGATTTTCTATGTGCGAGGGAACAAGCTAGCAGACCACCATGCAGGGCTGGCAGCCCGCGCGCATGCATTCAGCAACAGGGTCACTGACGAGTGCATGGCCATTCCCAAACTGTACACTACCCTAATTCACGGGATGGGTAAAGTGCTCGGGGAGTGGCCCACGTTCGGGGAGTTGGGCGAGCTGGGGAGGGCTCGATTGGGTCCCAGGGCCACTCCCAAGGCACGGACCCCGCATGAGGCTGTTTTCCACGAAGGCAAGAGAAGATGTAACCTGTGTTTTAGGTATCTGGGCCGCAAGGTTATATTAAGTCGGGACTGCAATGGTCTGAACCCGTCCCTTGCTGGATTTCTGAGTGGTCCCAGGAACCACCACAACCTCCACGTGGCTTGGGTCGAGAGCTCGGGGCTCCCTGTCGTTTACTGCTTGAAGTGTGGTGCGTTTACCACGTGCAAGGCGGGCCCCAAGCTTCGTGGACCATGTGATGGGAAGGCATCGTCCGAGAGCAGGAAACTCAAACGCAGGATCCTGCCAGGCACCGGCCTACCCATCACCAATTCCGTAGCTCTCCCACCCCGAGGCCGTGAACTCAGGGAGGTGAGGAGACCTACGTAAAATTTTATTCGTGAGTGTACTGTGCTTGTACGGTACACCACCAACCGAGTAACCGAGGAGGAGGAGGAGGAGGAGGAGGAGGAGGAGGAGGACGAGCATGAGGAGGAGGAGAAGGAGGAGGAGGAGGAGGGGAGGAGGAGGAGGAGGAGGAGGAGGAGGGGGAGCAGGAGGAGGTGGGAGGATGGAGGAGGAGGAGGAGGAGGAGGAGGAGGAGGAGGAGGAGGTGGAGGACGAGCATGAGGGGGAGGCGGACGAGCACGAGGAGGACGAGGAGGAGGTGGAGGGGGAGGAGGGCGACGGCGATGACTCAGACATCCGCCGGCGTGATTCTCTTTCGGCCCGCGGCCCCAGGGGTCCCGACCGCTGCCCCCAGAGCCCAGCTTTTCGTCCGCAGGATCCGCTTTGGAGGGTCCCAGGAGCCGCGACGGCGAGCCCAAGGTCACTCGCATCGTCTGTCACTCGTCGCCTCGTGGCGCCGGACGGATACGCCCCCGTCTCCGCTTGCGGACGAGGTTGCATCCTGAGGTCCTGAGGCATGGCGAGCCCCATGCTTGGCCGGGGGTTGAGCGACAGGATGCGCGAGGCAGGGAGCCATGTCAGCAGATATGTGGGAGGAAGTCGCAATCAGGCATGTGAGCATGTGTGTGTGTGTGTGAGGAACGTCCTCGCGCGCACACTTCCACACTTCAGAAGGTCACCCATGATTGCGACTTAGTCGCAATCATCGATGACCTTCTGAAGGGCCCTGCCCTGGGAGCCTTTTCAGGTCACCGGCCAGAGGTTCCCACAGCTTGCGCCGGCCGCAGTTCGTCGATTCTCGGGTCGGTCGGCCGCCCTGGCCTGCGACCGTTTCGATTGCCACTGGAGGTCGGGATTTGTAGCAGGGGGCCCAAGGATGGCCTCGAAGATCGTTTAACAGCTCGAAGAGGCGGACCCACAGGGACCATTTTGAGTGGCATGTTTTTCACGTCTGCCCCGGGTATCAGCAGCAGCACCCGCTACAGGAGGAAGCACTTAGCGCGTCTTGCATGCGAGGGGCTTGGAAGCAGGCAGGCAGGTAAGTCAGTAGTTGTGCTGTCGTTTAGGCCCAGAGGATGGGTGGGCGGGGGCCTTTTGCTTTCTGGCCGCTCCCACTTTTGCTCCCGCCGCTCCCTGCCCCGCAAAGGGGGGTGGGTCGGGCCGAAGAGGACTTGGCAGCACCCGTATTTCCCAATGCTATCCTCGAGACAAGGTGCAGAAATGTGCCCAGGCATCATTCACATCGTCTGTCATTCGTCGCATCGTGTCACCAGAAGGATACGAAATGTGTCCAGGAGGCTTCAGACCCTGGGGGATTCCTTACTGATGAGGTTGGCGATGATATTTATGGCCAAGCCTCTGCTGGAGTTCCACGGGCTTCCAGACCGGATTCCTTTTCGAATGGTTCCTTGTCCATTGCCCTTACCGTATGGGGATCTCCACATCGAACGCTCACTGCTACGAAGAATTAGGTTTACCATTATGCTACGTTGTCGTGGCGGCGGTCGCCCTTCGATGTGAATGGCGCTCGCTTGGCCTGGGGGCGGGGGCGGAGGGAACGTTGCGCGCGCGCGCGCGCGCGTCTGGGAGAGCCGTGGGGGAATGGCAGGAAAGCGGGCCCCTCGTGGCGGGCGGGTCGAAGGGGCCGACAGCTGCTTAGCGGCGATGTTGGGGATATGGTCTTTGCGACGCCGAGCTCGCGCAGAACCCCAACTCCTCCTCTTCCTCCTCCTCCTCCTCCTCCTCCTCCTCCTCCTTCTCCGCCTCCTCCGCCTCCTCCTCCTCCGCCTCCTCCTCCTTTCCTCTGCCTCCTCCGCCTCCGCCGCCTCCTCCTCCGCCTCCTCCTCGTTTTCGCGAAGCCTCTCCCACAAGGGGGCCAGGCCTCCCCGCTATCGTGTGGAGGCCTCCTCTCTGCGCGGGGCTCGCCTCCTCCCCCCGGGGGGGGGCCTCGGGAGGAGAAGCCAGCGCCCCCGGGGACCAACCGCCCCCGGAGGCCCCTGGAGGCGGAGGAGGAGGAGGAGGAGGAGGAGGAGGAGGAGGAGGAGGGAGGATGGAGGAGGAGGAGGAGGAGGAGGAGGAGGAGGAGGAGGAGGAGGAGGAGGGAGGAGGAGGAGAGGAGGAGGAGGGAGGAGGAGGAGGAGGAGGAGGAGGAAGGGAGGAGGAGGAGGAGGAGGAGGAGGAGGAGGAGGAGAAGGAGGAGGAGGAGGAGGAGGAGGAGGAGGAGGTGGAGGAGGGGGAGGAGGAGGATGGAGGAGTTGGAGGAGGAGGAGGGGGTGCGGGCCCGAGGGCGCGGCGCCTCCGACGACCCCCCTCCGTCGGCCCCCTCCGCTGACGACGCCCCTCCGTCAGCTTCCCTCCGCCGTTGACCCCCTGCCCCGCCCTCCTCGACCCCCCTTCGTCCTCTCCGTTCCCCGTCGGCCCCCTCCGCCTCCCCGGCTGGGTGGGCCCCTGGGAGCGTCGTTGCCGTCGTTGACCCTCGTGCAGGGCGGGCTCAAGAAGGCCAGCGCCGAGTCCACGCGCGGGGACGCGCCTGCGGCTCTGAAGGGCAGGGGCCTGGCCAAGTCCGACAGCAGCGTCAACCTGCCGGACATCCACAACAAGAAGACCCAGGCCTCCTTCCCCCTCTCCTCCACACCTTCCTCCTCCTCCTCCTCCTTCTCCTCCTCCTCCTCCTCCTCCTCCTCCGCCTCCTCCTCCTCCTCATTCATCCCTTATACGTAATTCCTTCCTGTCGCAGGCCAGCCACAACTGGGGGAGCTGTGGTCCTTATCCCCTGGGGGACCCATCGATTTCGACACCCCTCTCGAGAGATCGTCGATGCGATGGGTTCCCCCAGGGGGGTAAGGACCACAGCCCCCCCAGTTATGGCTGGTCGGTGTCGCACCCCGAGGCCGGTCAGAAGGGCGGGCCGGGCCTTCCGCATGAGATTTCTTTACCATGTATGATCCTCAAGCTTAAAATTGACAACCGTTTCGCAGACGGCGGGCGGGCCGCTTCCAGAATGTGGCTCTCCCCTTAGAGCGCCGCGCATATTCTTTTTCTAAGCAGTTGCCAGGGCTTCACGGGCTGAGGGCGGGGAGTTTTCAACATGTGGTTCTCGCATTAGCGCCGCGCACATGTGTTTTAAACAGTTGCTAGAGCTTCATGGATCGAGGGCGGCTCCTTTCCAACATTTTGCTCTGGCCTTGGTGCCACGTACATTCGAAATTCAGATCGAAGAGTTTCGAATGTTCCCATGGTTAGCGTACCAGAATTTGTTTGGGAACGATTCGGGAGTGTCATGGCGCAACAGTTACATTGAGCCGCGGTGTCGAAGTCCTAGGATGGTGCTCTGGTACGATTCAGGATCGTCAAAACGAAACTGGCAGGTTGATTCGTGGCGTTGAAGTGCCGAGAGTGATGTTTGGCACGCTTCAGGATCTTCAAACGGTTGTCTTCCAACGAGGCATTTTTCCTCCAGTGGAGATGAATCCGTGTATGGGGCCTATGGAGAGGGAGCTGGGAGGGAGGGTTTACTTCAACATCGTTGAGGAGTCTTGGGTTTACACTGGTCCTTCTCCTCCTTCTCCTCCCCTTCCTCCTCCCCCCTCCCCCTCCCCCTCCCCCTCCCCCTCCTGATTCCCCTTCCCAGCATCCTTCTCTTCCTCCTCCTGCTGATCCCCCTCCTTCTCCTGATTCCCCTCCCTCTCCTCCCCTTCTCATCCTCCTCCTCCTCCTGCTGATCCCTCTCCTCCTGATCCCCCTCCCTCTCCTCCCCTTCTCCTCCTCATCCTCCTCGTTTTCCTCCTCCTCCTCCTCCTCCGCTCCTCATCTTCCGAACTAGAAGAATGCGCACGCGAGCATTCTATGGTTATAATGAAGATCGTGCGACACAACCAGAACACACAACACAGCATCGCCAAAAGCGTAGACTTCTGGAGGTCCACAGCTGGGCTGCCTTGGCGGCGCCTCCAGCGCCGCCCCTGGCGCGCTCCGCGCGCTTGGGAGGGGGCCTCATCGCAGATCCAAGAGATCCGCGCGGGCCGTTGAAAGTGCACGTTTATGCCGTTGCCTCCTCTGCTTTGCCTCGCTCATGCCGTTCCCCCCCCTCCTCGTCCTCCAACCGCGCGTGCTCTAGCAAAGAAGCTCGTGCATGCGATCTTCCACCTTTTGGTCCTAGCTGGTGCAGGGGGGAAGCTTGCTTGGACGTGACATCCACGACGCTCGGGCGGGTGGTAATTGTGGGGTGAAGAAAAGGGGCCCTACAGGGGCTTCTTAGTAGCCGAAGATATATGTGATGCGTCAGCCAGAGAAAGTTCTGCGGCGGTGGTGCCAAGAGCTTTCTATAGAAAGCTCGCCTGTGCTTCAGGGCCACACTTACTGGCCGTTGTGCATTATGAAGGGTATGATTTCCTTGCCCTAAAAAAAGGCTTCTTTGGTAGCCAGCAGGGGCCCAACAAAGTGCCCTGAAGGGCACATTTGGGGCCCGCTTCTTCACCCCCATGCGGGTCATTCCCCCTTGACCGCCCGCCCAAGGCGCTCGCGCTCCTCCCGCCGCCGCCACCCCCCCCGCTGGGGGGGGGGGAGCTTCGGTGCATTTACAACCCGAGCGGCGCTTTACAACCGACATAGGGCCCCTTACAACCAGCAACGGATCGAATGTGGTGGTTTTCCTTTTGGGGACGACCACTTTACAACCAGAACGGCCCGCTTCACATCCACACTGGCCCTCTTTTACAACCCAGACGGGGCCTTTACAACCAGAACGGCCACTGTACAGCCAGTCTTCAGAAGCGCGTGAGCGCTCTGCAGAGGCTTCTGGGGCTTCTGAGCGCCCGCCTGCGCGCTCAGCAGAGGCTTCTGAGCGCCTGAGCGACCTGCAGAAGCTTCTGCGGCTTTGAGCGCCTGGACGCTTTGCAGAGGATTCTGAGAGGCTTCTGAGCGCCTGAGCGCTCTGCAGAGGCATCCGAGCGCCTGAGCGTTCTGCAGAAGCTTCTGAGCGCCTCAGCGCTCTGCAGAGGCATCTGAGCGCCTGAGCGCCCTGCAGAAGCTTCTGAGCGCCTGAGCGCTCTGCAGACCTTGCTGGGCGCCTGGGCGCCCTGCAGCAGCTTCTGCGGCTTCTGAGCACCTGGGCGCTTTGCAGAGGTTTCTGAGCGTCCGAGTGCTCTGCGGAGCCTTATGAGGCTTCTGGGCACCTGAGCGCCTTGCAGAGGCTGCTGAGGCTCCTGAGCACCTGAGGCTTCTGAGGCTCCTGAAATCCACATGTACTGGCTAGCGTGCTACCAGCGATTTCTTGGCCACATGTCCGCCCTCTTGGGGGCGCGCGTGTTCTTCCGCGTCTTTTGCGGCGAACGCATACTGTCCTTCTATTGTCAGAAGAAGCAAGATTTCTAGGAAGAGGGTACGAAGCCCCAATACAACGATATAGCTTTAGGGCACAGATGTAAACAATGCTTAAGCCACCCAGGCCTGCCACCAGCCTGAGGTGGGATGATCGCGATTGGATTTTAATGCATTTCAAATAGCTCCTTATACCATAAGGATAACAATCGGACGCCAGTACGGTTACATTCTGACTCAAAGAGGTCAGGTTCCTGTTGGATTACAGTTGGGCTCTGATAGGATCCCAATAGTTTGCCCGCTTGGATCGAAAAGGAAGGACTCCGATTGGATTCCAGTGCGATACCCGTCGTATTTGCCAATCTGGTTCCCATGGGATTCCAAGGGAGACGATTCCTATTGTTTTGGAATAAGAACCCAAAAAGGAGTCCCTCCGGGTTTCCATCCAGTACCCCATTGCATTTTCCGCAGCCTACCACTAGGAAGGTTCATCGATTGTAATCCACTGGGGGGTCCAATCGGTTTCCATTAGGAAGGGCCCACAGGGTTTCAATAGGAAGCATCCCCACCGGATTCCAATAGGACACCCGTAGGCCCCATAGCGAGGAATATTGTTGGATTCCAGCGGGATCCATTTAGTGCCAATATGATCCCAGTGAGAAGGGTGCCAATGGGATTCCGATTGGGCTCCTGTTGGATCCCATTAGAAATCCGCCACTTCACAGATCTTTGCTGTAGACGAGTCTCTTTACAACCAAGCCGCTTCAGAGAGCGAAGGGTCTCCCTTACATGGACCCACGGAGATTTCGGCAATTGAAGGGCACGTGTCGTTCACATGCGTTGCATTGCCTGGTTGTCAAGTCGCCTTCCTGGTTGTAAAGGTGCCCCTGTGGAACAAAAAAGCATGCCGGTTGTAAAGTGCCCCATTTGGTTTAAAGTGGCCGTTCTGGCTGCAATGTGACCCGCACGACCCCCCGATGGGGCGGTCGAGCAGGGCCTGGGGGGTCTCGAAGGCGCGGGGGCGGGGCAGAGCCTTACGGGGGGGCTCCTCGGAGGCTTCTGGTGCTACCCTGGCCTCCGGGCCCCTGCCTCGCGAATCCCCCCCCACGCCTGATGCTGCTGTCTTTGCTGCCCCCCCTCCTCTTCCCCTCGCCTCCTCCTCCTCCTCCTCCTTCCTCCTCCTCCTCCTCCTCCTTTTCCTCCTCCTCCTCCTCCTCCTCCTCCTCCTCCTCCTCCTCCTCCCCCTCCTCCTCCTCCTCGTCGTCCTCGTCCGTAGCCATTTTGGCTCAAGCCATTTTGGCTCAAGCCATTTTGGCTCAAGGGTAGCTGTCCTGTGCCCGAGCATCGGGCATTGCACACACCAACTTCAGGACAGCATTGTGTGTGCGAGCCTTTTGTGGCTTCGGTTTCCTTCTCGCATGTCCAAGAATGCTTGGCAGCTTCGCAGCAATGGCGGTGGGGCGTGGTCGACGCAGGCTCCCTGGAGAACAGGGCCGTCGGCGGCCAGGGCTGCGCCATCGCCAGGCCAGTGGGGCACTCAGGCTGGCGACGACAGACCCTGGAATTGGTCCCCTTCCCGCCAAGGCTGAGTGTCGTGGTCAGGCCGCCGCTGGCGTTGCGATGCTTGTGGATGCAAGAAGAACCTCGAGGGTTGGATCGCCTGCAAGCACTGCGGCGAGATGCGTGAAGGCTTGCAGGGCTGGCCGAAGCCGGGGACCCACTGGCCTGCCCTCAAGCCTGGGCTGGTGCCTGCTCCTGGCGGCCATGGTGGCGCTGGTGGGCAACCAGGCGGTGGCGGCTCAGCTTCAGCCCAGTTGTCTGAGTCCGAGCTGCGCACGCTCATCGGCCTGTGCGAGAAGTCGGGCGACGGCGAAGCGGCCTCCCGCCACAAGTCCGCGCTCGACAAGCTGCTCCGCACCTCCACGCCCGCCCCCGTCCAGCAGCGCGCGGCCAAGGCCCACAGCAGCGTGCAGTACTGGGAGCGCAAGCTGTCCACGGAGCTCGACAAGCTCACCAAGCTCGAGAGGCAGGTGGAGGAGCAGAAGGTTGCGACGGCAGCTGCTCAGCAGTCCTTGCAGGCGGCCGACGACAACTACAAGGACCTGGTCCGAGAGCTGGCTGGGAACGTGGTCGACCACACCCCCGCAGTGCCGCTCGGGCGCGCCAAGGTGGACGTGTCGGAGCTCATGCAGGGTTCGTGCAATGTGCTGGATATGGTCTCGCTGGACTCGATCTTCCTCTTCGACGAGGGCGAGTACGAGGTGTCCGACGACGACAAGGAGCAAATGGCA